CCATTGTTGGGGTGTAGCCTTATCCTTTCAGCACAATAAAAGTTTGGATAAATGATGAGATGCATATTGACCATAGACATTTCTGTCCTGGGATGTACTGGAACGCAGCCAGATTCATGGCATTCTTTTCTGTCCCAAGGGGAAATTTCTCCCTGCAAAAACGTATCAGAAGCATGTCCGCCTAGAAGGTACTCGGTTCTCCATAGTTTGAGTAACTGATCTTCCAGCTAAATTTCTCTGTTCATTGGTTGGGGTGTAGCCTTATCCTTTCAGCACAATAATAATTTGTATTAATGATGAGCTGCATATTGACTGTAGACATTTCTGTCCTGGGATGTACTGGTGCACGTGTGCTTAATATTGAAAAAGTAGGTGCTTGTAAAAGGATGGTATGAATGGCACTGGGAGCAAATGTTCATCAACATTTGACACAACTCTGAAATATTGTAACCTTTGTTCACATAGGTTATGTGTAAATGTCAAATGTTTATTTTATCCCGCCATAACTCTTGAATAGCTTGAGTTTCCCGATATCAGTTCCTATCCCAACTAATTCAACAATCAACCAATTCTTTGGAAATCTAATTTAACTAAGTTAACTTATTAAGTCAGCAAGAAAATCAGATGCTCTCCTGATGGCCAAAACATTTATCGAAACACATTTTATATCTAAAATCAAAGAATGCTCACCTGCTCTTGTATATCGTCTCCCACCCTAATTTCCTGTCAAACCTCTCCTCTTGGTTCTTAAACAAAGGGAATTGGGAGTGTAGGTTTTGTTCCATTTCCATTCTAATCATTGAATTAGGTATAGGATTCTGGTTTCTCAAAGAGGAAGAACAGCCCTGTTCCCTCATTTGTTTTAGACCTGAAGGTGGGACAAAAAAGCACTTGTTCCAGGATAACAATCCTGACCTTAAACAGTGATGTAAAGCTCCTTGTTTTCGCTGTGAACAAAGTGGACCAAGCCAAAACTAAGTGTGCATCTCCTTCACCCTCCCAAATGTGCGATGATTTTAAAAGCTTCCTCTGTACCAAAGCTTAACATGTAACTCCTGCTTTCTGATGCTGTCTGTGGAAGCCATCTATGCTTCTATGTACTGTGCCTTCTTATCTTAGAAAGTTGTATTTACAGGTCCATGGAAGCCATTTATCTTACAGCTCCTCTTCTCTTGTTAATGCTCAAGTGGTTTTAAACACATACCATATTCAAATCGTGTTAGGGTCTAACTCATTTTCTGATGCTCTGTGTCTATGGAAGTCCTCGATGTTTGTGTCAGCTGTCCTCTCTTATCTTATTAAGTTGCATTCACAGGTTCAAGTGCTTAGATTTAGATGGAAATGGTGTGTTGACACCCAATGAATTGCAATACTTCTATGAGGAGCAGCTGCACCGTATGGAATGCATGGCCCAGGAACCTGTGCTGTTTGAGGATATCTTGTGTCAAATAGTTGACATGATTGCACCAGAGGTGAAAAACTTTGGTTCTTTCCAATACTCTGGAATCCTCTTCGTTTTGTGTTAGCTCTCATTTGCAGAGACACTTTGTTGCAGAGGGAAGGTTACATCACACTGCATGATTTGAAAGGATGCAAACTTTCAGGAAATGTTTTCAATATTCTTTTCAACCTCAATAAGTTTGTAGCTTTTGAAAGCCGTGATCCCTTTCTTATTCGCCAGGTACATTCAGCATTTTTATACTGCGTTCCTGCTTTTTAGCTTTTATATTGTAATAATATATCTGGATACTCAGGGGTCCAAGGGTGCTGGTTACATCATTATAATTATATCTTCAGGGATCATAACTGCCTGATTTGCATTTTTTGGTGTGGGCAGGAGCGTGAGGAACCAACTTTAACAGAGTGGGATCGCTTTGCACATAGAGAGTATATCAGGCTTTCAATGGAAGAGGATGTTGAAGATGTCTCAAATGGGAGTGCAGAAGTTTGGGATGAATCATTTGAGGCTCCCTTTTAGGTTAATGAGTTGAGGTTTATTTAGATGTCTAGAATGAGGTAGACTTCTCTGAGAAGAAAGATCAAAATTTTGCATCACCTTTATTTCAGTTGAGTTTTATACTTTGTTTGAACTTCTTTCATTTTCAAATTTCCCAAAACATTTTGTGGTTCTTACTTTTCAGTAAGAATTTAAAACCTCTATAATGTTACAGGAAAATTGTTAAAATGTCAGTGGAGGCTCTATGACTTCTTGAGGGAAGGAAACAGAAAAAGGAATTTGCTGCATTTTTTCATTTGTGGAACTGTTTGTTTTTAACTGTTAATCTACAAACTACCACACATACCTCAGATGTTTAATAATTTTTCCAAAAAACATCTTTTCTTTCTATTATTTTGGTTTTGAATGACGTTTATAGAAATGTATAATTTTTGGATTCAACAAATATTCCGACATTCCTTTTTCCTGTTTTTAGATTATTTGTATATTAAATTCAATTTTTCTAGTCCTTCATGTCTTTGCAGTTACCCAAAATATCTCTTTGTTGCTCCTTCGGATATGGAATGAAGATTTGGTACTTGGACATTCTCCTCAGTGGAACTTGTGAAATCTGCACTGTTGGTGATACATTTCAAGCTTGGTCATTACTTTGGCTTACTCCAGTAGGCAACATGGCTGCGTTTGTGCAATAACATTCATATGCTCTCTAGAGTTCCACAGTGATTTCCAGGATGCCAGATGCTTTATTGGGAGGGAGAGATGGCTGTCACCTGGTGATTATTCATCACCCAGGTAACAAAAGTTCATATAATTGTTGTTGGGTGGCAATTTTGCTTCCGGGAAAGCAGCTCCATTTCTGGATGATTTTTCTCGAGCTTCTGCTCTTTACGGGAAAGGTGGCTGGTATGCTTGTCCTTTAAGCTTGTAACGACATATATTTGTTGATCAAATGCTCTCCTCGGTTCATTCTTGCACCCTGACCTCTCTTTCTCTCTCTGCTACTGTTTATATGTTCTTTTATTGGATTTTATGAGGAGGGACAAAATTTCGTGGGGAGAAATTGGGTTGTTAATCATGTTGTTGTGGCAGTTTTTTGGTGGGAGCTGTGCGAAGACAAGCTCTCTTCCTTCATATGTAGCACTGAAACAAAGAGCACACGCGTCCATTCCTGC